TGAGGGTTGACAGAACAGTGCTGTTCAAATAGGAAATACCTGAGGAGCTGTCATGCAGAAGAAGGCAAAGGTTTGTTTTCCGACAGAAATGGATCTAACAGAGTTATGTTGCTGGAGGATAGATTTAATTTGAACATTGAGAGAAACTTTTAGATGGTTAATAACAGCTACTTTTCACTTAGAGTGTGTGGTGGCTCTCAGCCCCCGGAAGTCTTCAAACAGAAGCTAGACAGCCTTCTGTTGGGAACACTCTAGCTCTGGATTCCCTGCATAGAACAGAGGGCTGAACTAGATTAGGTCTGAAGAACCTTCAGATGTTGCTAGACTCCCACTAGTCTCAGCAAGCATAGCCAATGACCAGGGATGATGGTGTTGTAGTTCAGCAATTTCTGGAGGACCAAAGCTTCCTCTTACCTGGCCTGGGTGGGCTATGGGACGCTCTCCTACACAGTGATTCTATTATTCTTTTTGTAGTTTCCGGTACTTCCCCTTAGACTACCTCAGATCATTTTTAAGCATAGGGAATCTTTTAATTTTTTAGAAAAACAAAACAGCAAGTTTAAAGAATGTTATCAATGGATAACCTCAAGAGTACACCAAAACCAGCTGACAGCCATTTTTTTTCCTCTTAAAAAAAGAAAATAAAGGAAAATCAAACAAAACAGCCAGTTCTGAGTCAGAGATTTAATCTTTTCTGTGTGCCTATTATCCTTAAATCACAAGATGACAGTTTTCTCAGGCATACCAGAGAGATTCAACCAAAATCTACCAGTAACAGATAATCTTATCAAATGTCAAGCTACTGAGAAAAATGGTTTGAAAAATAGGCCTCCTGTTCACTGCTTGATTTGGTACAAGTAAATGTTCATGTTCCTATAATCTAACTTTGAATTAATATACTTATAAAAGATGTTGTCAAATTATTTACAAATATATGTGTGTGTGTGTGTGTGTAGATTTCCAGTATTTATTATCTAATTACAGCTGCTGTGGGTAGGCATTGTTGTTGTCCAACATTATATGTGCCAGCAAAATATGTACCTTGTTCATATGTAATATGAACCATGGAAGGAGAAGAAGGGAAGTCATTGAATGTTTCAAAGTTTGTAAAATGTTTAATTTGATATGTAGAAAAATGAAAAAAAAATCAAGTGTGTGTGTGTGTGTGTGTGTGTGTGTGTACCTTGCCTTTCAGATTCAGACCAAAATACACCTTAAATGTTTTTATTATATTAACCTGAATCCACTTTGGGAAAACATCTGTTTTGAAAGGTGATGTATAAATTCCAGGAATAAATAATATAATACAAAAAATATCCTACAAAAAAAGAGAGCACTGCTAGTGAGTGTAACACAGGATATCTTGAACAGTAGCTCTATCCAGTTTATTCAATGTGTATGAGTGGGCAAGGGGATAAGTGTATGGGTCATCAAAGAAATAGGCTACTGGTCCAGATTTAGAAGAGAGTTTAAAAATAATATGAATACTAAGAAGCTTTCACTGATGTTGCTTTGGATACAGGCACACAGACATACACCCAACCAAGACTCTGGAAAGTCAGATGCTTTATCAGAATTTGGAACTGGTGGTTAGCCTGGTAAATAGACCTGATTGTAGAGCCAAGAAAATGTTTATTCCACCCTTAAATATAAAACTCTCAAGGTAGTGTACATTAAAATGGATTTTGAAAAAATACTAAAATTCACTGTGCAAACAGAAACAGCACAGCAGCGGTCAAGGACAAAGCGATGCCATCATACACTATGTGCTGGAATGCCTGAGCAATTATTATTTTTAAGAGCATTATATTTAATTATGAATTAACATCAAGGCAAGCTTGTCTGGAGGTGGAATCCATATGCAGGGCCCTGCATATACTGCATTGGGCTATACCTGTGAGATATTCCTTACCATATTCCAGAAACCTTAAGCTCTGGAAAGCATAAGAGGCATTCTGCATCTCAGAACATCACAGTCCCTTCTGAAAAGTACGGTGTTTTTACAATGCCCCTTTTATTTGACATGCTGACCTGACAGCCGACACTTGGGCTGATTCCCATGAGCAGCACTGCCAAGCACATTCTTCTCTCTGCATGTTGTGTGATGCGTGATAAATAAAATGTGAAACTTGAACTAGGGAGATAGGGCTTCCGATCTCCACAGAACCCGTGAAGTAACCCTGGATGAACTTGGTTTACTTACTCTCTTTCAGCCTCAGAGGGTTGCTGTGTGGATAAAACTGGATAACTATCACGTAGCCATCCCTCATCACAAATTATGAGTGCCCAAACACACAGAAATCCAGCTGGGTCTATCAATTTAGATCTTTCAACTGCTCCCCCAACCCTTCTTTTACTTTATGGGAATATCCCTTTAAAATACCACTTCCTTGCTGCATTTTCTCAAACTAGTGGTGGAAGTGACAGCATTAACAATGTTACACTCAAGGCGTATTCCTTTCTGGCACAGCAAGAAGAACAGTATCTGGGAAATTCTTGGCTCCTTTTCCCTACTATCCATCTGCAGGCAAGAGCAGCCAAAGCTGGAGAGAGCAAGGAATGAAAAGAAGCAGGACATGCATTTTCTTCTTTCCTCTTACACACACACACACACACACAGAGAGAGAGAGAGAGAGAGAGAGAGAGAGAGAGGTTTAACAGTGCAATCCTAACCAAGTCTACTCAAAAGTAAGTTCCACCGAGTTCAACTGGGCTTTCTTTCAGGTACATAGGTTATGGTTGTAACTCAGAGCTCCATACTGCTGTTAAGAGTCTGTAGCAGCAACAGCTTCCTCCCTGCCTAGACAGCAGGTCCAACTAGGCTGGAATGCAAATCTCTAGGCTCTGGCAACCTGTGACCACTACAGCTCCTAAGAGGCTTCTTTTCTGCATGGTGTCTGTTTCCTCCTTGCCTGGGCTACAGGTCCAAAGAGGCTAGAATGAGGAGCTCTAGGCTCTGGCAACCTGTGACCACAACAACTACTTAGGAGACTTTTTGTGTGTTGTTCCTCATTAAGAAGCAAATGTGTGAGTCATCTCAAAGGGTCAGGCTTTTCTATCCATTAATTAACAAAGAGGAAGATTGTTGTTAGTAGCTATTACTAACTGGAATTGGAATCACTGATGATGAACGCTTGAGATGTTTGAACATGGTCCTGCCTTTATAAGAGCTGATGTGGGGCTGCTACCAAAATCAGCTGCCCTGCATCTCCTTATTCAGTTCCCCTCTGCCTTGGAACTGGCAGCTATTGAAATGGAGTGGGAATGATAAAACACACAATGCAATAATACCCCCCTTTCCTTTGTTTTAGTAACTATTTGGAGAGAGAGAAGGCATAGGTGCTAGCTCTCTTCTGCTGTTGCGCCAGTTATTAGCTGCTTTTTGTGAGGGGAGGGAAATTTGCAATGCAGCTACATCACAGCACACATTTTGCATCATTAAATGTAAGGGGCAACAATCGCATTTGTTATTATTTATTCCACTCTTCCTCCAAGGAGCCTAGAATAGCTTACAAGGTCCACACAACTCTTTTACCCTAATAAAACCCCTGTGATGGATGGTAGACTGAAAGAGTGTGACTGCCTCAAGGTCACCCAATGAGTTTTATGGGTGAATCGGAATTTGAGGCTATTTCTCTCAGGCTCTAGTCCAATCTAAGAGGTCATCAATATGGTGTCATCCAGATGTTATTAGACTCCAATTCCCATCATCCCTGAACATTGGCCATGCTAGCTCAGCTGATGGGAGTTGGAATCCAACAACATGTTGGCTGCTCCTGTATGTTAAATTGGCTCATATATACCCATACACTGAGGTAGTCAACCTTTGTATACCTATCGCCCACTAATGCATCTTTCTTGATGGTAAAATTTCCTTACCGCCCACCTGTGCTCGATGCAAGGAGGATTCAGTTTGTGCCATAGAACCCCCTACCACACACCTGGAATCCCGAAATGCCCACTAGTGGGTGGTAGGGACCAGGTTGACAACCCCTGCCATACACCCACACACCTGTTGCTCCATGGAGCCCTAATATATGCAGCTGCAATATTCAAAACATACGTCTGCCATTAAGTTGAAATAAGTAGTCATAAGCTTTGAGAGCTTTCAGTCATCCTCTTTTTCCTACTTCTCTCCACCAAAAATATCAGTAGAATGATAAACAGAGTCTTCAGTTTCAGAGAGCAGAATGGGCCAGCCTGTTTCTTTAAAATATGTGCAATTTTCAAGCCATCGTCAATAAACTTGTGATTGCAGGACTTACCTCATTAAACTGACAGTTGAGCAAGTTGGACACGCCCCATCCAGTTGTACTTTCTAGCCAGTTGCCAGTAGTTCTTTTCTCTTTGTTGACTTCTCTCTTGGCATCTGAAATCAAGGTTTCATTTGGTATCACAGCAGGTGCTTCAATTCATGTAAGAGTTCAAATTAAAAGTCAGCTCTGGGTGCCAGAAAATGTTACGGTCAATAAAGGTGAGAGAGAGAAATATCTGAATGGTGAGGAAAATTTGAGACCTCAACCAGAGCAGATCAGATATCCAATTAAAACATGATTTGAAGAATTAAAGCAAAACAGATGCTGAAGGCTCCATGCTCTGCTGACTTAACCCTAGCCACCTAAAATAAATGAAATAAAAAGATGTTTCACAAAATTGTTTCCAAAATTCTTGTCACAGGGCAGGGAGTTCCATTGCTCTGGGTCAATCACCAAAAACGTTTCTCCCCATATGCTGTCAGTATCATAAGTAACTCAAGAAGGTCATAGGGAGGAGAAGCCATTATAGTGAAGTCTTGAAAAAGTCAACTTCCACAAAAATAAAAAGCACCCTATCCCAAGCAGCTTTCCTATGAACACATGAATTACTTCACTAAATAGTCATACTAAACCAGGATTTGAAGATCCACTTCCTCCCTAATTTTTCTGCATCCATTTGTTCTAATCAGTGCAAGCTCCAAGACAATGAAATCCAGATTTAACCACTGCTAATATGTGTCTTCAGTCAAACACAAGATAGCTCAATTGGTTAGAGCATGGTGCTGGCAATGCCAAGGTTGCAGGTTTGATCCCCATAAGTGACAGCTGCATAGTCCTGCATTGCAGGGGGTTAAGACTAGATGATCCTGAAGGTCCCTTCCAATTCTGTGATTCTATGATCCATGTGTTTTCTAAGATCTTGGGTCTGGTGCACGAGGGAAGAAGCTGTGGACTACAACACCTATCAGCTCCAGCCAGCATGGTCAATGGTCAGGGACAGTGTGAGATGCATTCCAGCAGTACCTAGAGGGCCACAGACTATGGTCCAGAGTTATGGCATACCATAGGGATCATATTCTATGATAACAAGAGGGGAGAACCAAGAAAGAACACAGAAAAGTTTGTCTTTATTGCAAAACAGACATTTGTTAGAAGATATGTATGCCGGCTCCCTTGGCCAATAAAGCGAGATGAGCGCCGCAACCCCAGGGTCGGCCACGACTGGACCTAATGGTCAGGGGTCCCTTTACCTTTACCTATGCAAAGTGCAAACAGGTAGAGATGTACATGCCTATGGATAAGGCAAATGCTTCATTTAGACAAGCCTACCCAGAAAGCTAGAATGTTTATTTGTGTTTTACTCTATTTTCAGTTTATTGCTGATTAAATTTTTAAAAACATTTTAAATAGTTGTTTTTAACTTTTTTTACTGATAACTTTTGTTGCTTTATTCCTTATGAATAATCAAATAAAGTCTTCGTCTATGTATTTCCCACCTTTTCAGGGACACCTTTTCAGACAAGTTTATTTTGTACTTGAGTATGATATCAATGCAAGCTGCCGTCATGCTTGAACTCTTCAATCAAGCCTTTGGCTCACTATCTTTTCAAATGTGTTTGGGGCAGGGGATTATTGTTTTGTTTTTATGTTCTTGTTTTTATTTTGTATTTTGTGTTTTTATCTTTTATTATTATGTTGTGAGCTGCCCTGAGATCTATGGATGAAGGGTGCTATACAAATTTTATTAATAATGACAATGATGTAGAATATTAGCCACTGTGTAAGTGTATAATATTAGCCACTTGTTTCCATACAGACTGGAAATCATAGTCACAGACAAAAGAAACTTACCTGAAGTGGTTTTACTTGAAGTGACACTCGAAGAAAATGCAGAGCCACCATTTCTGGTTGGAGTAACCCTGCTGACTTCATTTAGACAACTAATTCTAAACTTTGGCACTGTGGGGTGAACAATGAAGTGGCAGGGTCCTGTGTTTGGTAAAATAACACAACAGGCAGTGGCATCTTAGGTGTTTGAGCATCTCTTTAAACGAACAGCCAGATAGGCAAACAAACAGCACATTTGTTTTATGCTTCCTCACTTCAGTTGCTCTGCACACTTCTCCAAAAGAGATGGGTTCACAGAGCATGTGATTTTTGGTGCGCAGATATTGCAAGATTTAATTAAAATGTCCAAGATCCACATTCTGTTTGCTTTATAAACATTTCTAGCGTGTCAGTAGCCAACCTAAATCTTCCACCAGACAAGTACATACTGTGCCTCTTTCTTTCTTTCCCTGAGCAATGGATAGGACTCGTCAAAGCCGGTTGGTGTGCTCTCCATTGGGTGCTGAGGACAAGGCATGTTCAAATTAAACATGAACTCAGTGTTAACTTTAAAACATATTTTGTTCTGAAAGCTGAGACCTCCTAACAGTTGTCTCAGAGCTAAGGAGAAAAATATCTGCTTTCCATTATGCTAATGCCCCTTTCTTCCCCTTGTCAACATTCAGGCATATCTAAGCACAGAATTTGGTGCAGTGTTTAGAAAACATCCTCTGGGTTTCTTTTGGTGTGGATTGTACATATGCTAGTCAAAGCTGGTTACTGGAATACAAAATACTACAAAGAAGCGTTATTTTAATAACACCCTGTTCCCATAAATCCAGTGTTTATTATTTTCTCTTTACAACTCTGTGATTAGGTACATTCTCACTGACTATTTATCTGGGGGCCTAGTCACATGTCCTTGCCATGCACGTGCCAATATATACATCGAACATTTTGAGAGGCTGCAGTTGGTTATCAGAAGTCAAGCCTTGCTCCATTGAGCACACAGTGCTGGCATTCATGCAACTGGCTCAGCCAACGGGTTTACATCTGGAAATGAGATCAGGCCTGCTGAAGGCTATGGCTGCTGGTGGACTCAACGGGTAATGTTGAATAAGCCCTGAGATTTGAAGTAACGTTATGAATACCTCAGACATGAAGGCAGAGCCAGCAGAAGACATTCTGCTGCCTGAGGTAGGGTCACTGCTTCCCCACACACCACTCCTGCACATTGACTCCTCCTCCTCCTCTACTGCCGCCTCTCTTTTAGTTGTCATCGCGGTGCGCCATGGACCTCCCGCATAAGTTATGTGACATAACAATGCCTCACTTTGAGGGAGAACTGCAGGCAATGTAGGGTCCTTCCAGACCAAGGCATTGTGGGTGAGATGGCCCTGAAAAGTCACACCAACAAAGATTAACGGTTAAGATAATAAACTATTAGACTTTAAGCACCATTTGTTGTGGCAAAGCAGCAGCAGTTCAGGTGATCTTCAGTGTCATCTCACCCAGAGTGTCCCATTTTGAGGAAGATCCCTTCCTCAGCACAAGTGATAAACTATGGTGTATGGGTGGGGGCCTTCCCATTGTGCCGCCTGAAGCAAAGATCTCGGCATGGCGGGCCGGCCCTGCATGAAGCTTCCTCATTATTCTGAAATATGTATTTGAAAAGTTGCTTTGCCAGACCAGCTCTTTGGCCACACACCAAGTTGGGCTGCCCCATCTATCTTATGTGTTTCATTATTGACTACTGCCTTGAAACCTGGCCCTGAATCATTGTTTAAATTTACTTCCTCAAAGGTATTTTATCTTCATTTGGAGCTTGTCAACATGTCCTTTTCTCTTTGATTATCTTTCACATTTTTCCACCTCAATAAGATGATTCCTTTTTAATTGAAGTCCCATGGTATTGCTTTTCTCCCTTTGCTACTTCTGACATAACAGTAAACAGTTCACCTAATTTCACCAAACAGGTTCATTATCCATTTTTAACAGACACAAAAGAGTGCATTATTGTCCAGTGTGTCAAGTCAAATTGTGACTCTGCAAAATGTAGACATGGCCACTGTTATTAGATGTGTTCCCTTTGATTTAATAATGAGAAAAATAACAAATGACAATGGAGCAATTATATAGAGGTGAGTTGCTACTTCTTAATATTTGAAAGGTAGGCGCAAAAGAGTCCGTTTGTGAATTCACTGCAAGGTCCATGCACAAGAGATGGTCAGCAACAGATCTCAGCCACAAACTGAGCTAAATTATTGGAAAATAATTCAAAACATAGGCTACTGGGATATGGTAAACTTTTCCACATGTCCAGACACTTACAGGGTTGTGCTAGCTATGAACTGGTACCTGGACTCAGTGGTGGGTTGATGAGGCCCAAAAAAACTGACTATAAATCTAGGTAAGACTGAGGTGTTGTGGATGTGGTGGTACCCATATCCAGAGATACTGATCAATTGCCTGATTTGGACGAAGTTGTTACCCCCTGCCTCCAAGAACAGGTCTATGGGTGCTTCTGGATCCATCTTTGTTGCTAGAGGCTTGGGTGACATTAGTGGCTAGGAGTACCTTTTACCAGCTTTGGTTGGTAAGACAGCTATGGACCAGGATAGCCTGACCACTGTCATCCATGCACTAGTAATCTCCATACTGGATGTGAAATGCATCCTTTGAAGTTGGTCCAGAACCTGGGGGCACTAGGGGGCGCATCAGAAGATGGCTGACAATAACATCTCTCCGACCCACACAAGGTAATTTGGAGGCTATGATGGGAGTAATTAGCCTCCCTACCCCCCCCCCCAGGATGGTGGGGGGGACTGCCCTTGCCTGCTGTGCCCTATACCACCCCCGAATTTGTGGGGATGGGGGCACTAGGCACAAAGCCCTCCTGTGGGATTTCGGTGCTCCTGGACGCTGTCTCTGATCCGCGCCACTAGCTGCAAGAACTTCAAAAGAAACAATTTGGATGAAGCGAATGCACATATTTCAAGGAAGGAGTGGGAGTAAAGACTGCTAACAGAAGAGATCTCTGATAAAACAAGACGAGTCGGAGGAACAAGTATAGATTATGAGAAGATACGCCAAGACTCGGTATGGTAAAGGGACTGATGACTGATGGGGGAGGGGGGGAAAACTTTCCTTTCTTTCCTTATGTGATTAAACAAGAATCCCCTCCCCTCACAAGTCAGAAATGTCGTTTTAAGGACTTAAGCTGTGGATTTAAGGCTGTGTGGAGATAAACTTTCGAACCAAAGCATGTTTTAAGAAGAGCGTGGAATGTATAAGGGCTTTGGAATGACGCAGTTAAAAATGCCGTCGCCATATTGGGAAGTTCTGTCGGAGGACTTAAGTCTGGGAGGAGAAATAGAGAAATAGAGCTGTTTTTATATTGTGGGTGAAACTCCTCAGAGGGACTTAAGAACGACAGTTCTGTAATTAATGATGGAAAGAGCGATGTTATCTATGAAGGCGATGATATATGAAAACCATCTTGATTTGAGGATTGGAAGAACGGAAAAATTCACACAGGATTACTATTGGTGTTTATCGGCTTAAGGAGACTATCAGAAGAGATCATAAAGAAAAAAAAGAGAAAATATATGAACAAGATGTGATGTGGAAACAGCAAGATAAGACTGGATAGAATTATGAACTCTGTTTGGACTGATTTGGACATTAAAGCAGTAGCAAGAAGATGATCAGAATCCCCCTTCGGATCTTGAAATATGGGTCCCCTCAACAACAAAATTTAAAATTCGGCTTTGTAATTCGGAAATTATGTGATGTGATTTAATTTGATTTGATTGGCCGGTTAATAAAAATTATTTTAAAAATAAAAAGAAGTTGGTCCAGAACCTGAAGAGCTGGTGCAAAATACAGCAGCTCAGCTGCTTCCTGGGGCAGGATATCGCCAACACGTTACCATGCTGTTGGAAGGATTGCACTGTCTGCCAATTAGCTACTGGGCTAAGTTCAAGGTGCTGGTTTT